GGGGGGGGGGAGGGGTTACTTTGTCTAAATATAAAATAATATCTTATTACCTCCTCTGCTGCCAGTTCCAGCAATGTCTCCTCTCTACTTCTTCCAAAATCACCTCTCACCTGGAACTTCCTGTTTTATAGGTGACACTTCCTGCCATAGAGACTTCCTGTCTGGGTATAGGTGAGATCACCATCTGGTGGAGCTCAGAGGAACTGCAGCCCCGAGAAACCTCTCGTAGTGTGAACACGGCCTTGTGCTGTGTGTTCTGTATAGACGGGTCATCTCCACTCCCACCGAGAGGGATAGAAATGTATGACTGATAGGGATCAGTGGAGGGATTTTGCAGCAAATCTGATGATAGGTTTAGCCATGGGCAAGGACGGCCCTCCCACAGTGACTCGCTAAGAACCTGAAGGACCTGCCCGGGGCTCCTTCATGGTTCCTTTTCTCTCCCAGGCCAAAGCTGTCTATTGAAATTCTAATGGTGGACAATCTGTCTCTTCCGTTCTACTTGTAGTGCCCTCTGCTACGTCGCTACTTAATCTAGTTCTATATTGGGACTGCAGTCAATCTGGATGCTGATTGCTCTGAGTTCTGCTGGATTCCCTGAGTCTGGGGGATTGATTGCTTCCCCCTGTTGCTGGGTTGGGGCCTCAGCATACAGTGAGGGAGGATCCATCCTCAGACTGTGACTATGCATCTGACTCTGACCAATCCCTGAGCAGGATGACTCAGAGGTGTGGCTGGAGGAAGGTGATAAAGGTTTTGGGACACTTTCCAGAACTCTCTCTCTCCCCTGGGGCCCTCCCTGGGAGGAAGTCTGCGTGATACAGATGCCTGGTCTGGGCCTCAGCATGTGGCAAATACTGGGGGCCTAGAGGCCTAAGATACTACTGGACGCCTGGTCTGGGCCTCACCATGTGGCAGATACTGGGGGCCTAGAAGCCTAAGATACTACTGGACTCTTGGTCTGGGCCTCAGCATGTGGCAAATACTGGGGGCCTAGAGGCCTAAGATACTACTGGACTCCTTGTCTGAGCCTCAGCATGTGGCAGATACTGGGGGCCTAGAGGCCTAAGATACTACTGGACTCCTTGTCTGAGCCTCAGCATGTGGCAGATACTGGGGGCCTAGAGGCCTAAGATACTACTGGACTCCTGGTCTAGGCCTCAGCATGTGGCAGATGCTGGGGGCCTAGAGACCTAAGATACTACAGGATGCCTGGTCTGGGCCTCAGCATGTGGCAAATACTGGGGGCCTAGAGACCTAAGACACTACTGGACTCCTGGTCTGGGCCTCAGCATGTGGCAGATGCTGGGGGGCCTAGAGACCTAAGATACTACTGGAAAGGAACCTGATGGAAGCCGGGCTGGAGGTGGAATCTGCTTATGGAAGAGTGTCGCAGAGGAGCTGGTGAGAGGTCCCGTCTGGAACCCTGTAAGAGATCCCTCACCCTACTCTCAGGTACTATACAGAAGAGAAGCCGGTTGGTGCACTACAAGTCATGTGACGGTTCTCTCTCAGAGTCCTGGACTATTCCTGGCTGTCCTCTGGTGCTACTTCATATTGCTGGTCGCTCTCACAGGACCGTTGTGCTTCTGATACAAGCCGTTGCTAAGGGAGACGACAGAGTCCTCCGAATTGTTACTCGGGTATCCTGCACCCCCCGACCCTCTCTCCTGGTTACTACTCAGCAATAAATACTACAAAGACCCCCCGACCCGATCCTGATCCGTTCCGGAGTGTCGGTGTTTCTGGAGCTGAGACAGGGGGCCGGTGGCTGGCTGACCAGGTAGGAGAACCCAAGTTCATATCCAGCGGCTCCTTCCGGGGTGAGCGCCACATACTGATCCGTGAATTATACAATATAATGTGATATGGACTCCCCTCTATACTTTGATCTCACGGTCATAATTCGTGGTGCCAGGAAGAACCTTCTACCTGGATGAAAACCTTCCCATGTGGCTTTGTAAGCCCCGTGATGTCCTCATTCATCCATAGAAGTCTCAGGCAGTGGTGGAATGGGTGATGTGGTCCTCACTGTCCTCATCAGATGTACCCAGAAGCTGGCAGTCCACCTCTACTACAGCCAGGCAGATTGGGGCCCCATATCGCTGTACTGCTGGGACGAGCACTTATCCTCGTTTAGCATACCCTAAATCCAGTATATAGATACAAAGAACCCCAGGAGAGGGTGAAGGGTGCAAATGGTTCCTGATGACCAGGATGTGGTAGAATAGGTCTGGCACATACAAGGGGGGCATTACAACAGAGGACCTTGGTATGGCAGCACAGGGTAGTCAGAATCCAGGGTGCAGGTTAAGTATGTGGAGATTGATCTTCTGGGAGCCCAGTGACGGCAGCAGCGGTTCCAGCTATGGGTACTCACACTGACCTGATGTTTTATTCTGGGACAGTGCCGAGAAGGTCTCATCCTGAGAGCTGCAACCCTAGTATCTGAGTAGCTCAGACAGTTGGGCCTTAAGATGTGGTGCAGCAGATGGAAGACCACCAAAGAGCCTCAGTCTAGGGGCTCACCTGCATGATGGAAGGCCACCAATGAGCTGTAGTATCAGGGCTCACCTGCATGATGGAAGACCACCAAAGAGTCTCAGCATAGGTGCCCGCCTACATGATGGAAGACCACCAAAGAGCCTCAGTATAGGGGCCCACCTACATGATGGAAGACCACCAAAGAGCCTCAGTATAGGGGGTCTCCTACATGATGGAAGAGGACCAAAGAGCCCCAGTATAGGGGCTCACCTACATGATGGAAGACCACCATAGAGCCTCAGTATAGGGGCTCACCTACATGATGGAAGACCACCAAAGAGCCTCAGTATTGGGGCTCACCTACATGATGGAAGACCACCAAAGAACCCCAGTATAGGGCAGTGGTAGCCAAACTCTGGCCCTCCAGCTGTGGTGAAACTGCAAATCCCATGATGCATCTCTCTCCGCAAGTCATGTCTGTGGCTGTGAGAATCTTGCAATGCCTCATGGGACTTGTAGTTCCACCACAGCTGGAGGGCCGGAGTTTGGCTACCCCTGGTATAGGGCCTCACCTACATGATAGAAGACCACCAAAGAGCCTCAGTCTAGGGGCTCACCTACATGATGGAAGGCCACCAATGAGCTGTAGTATCAGGGCTCACCTGCATGATGGAAGACCACCAAAGAGTCTCAGCATAGGTGCCCGCCTACATGATGGAAGACCACCAAAGAGCCTCAGTATAGGGGCTAACCTGCATGATGGAAGACCACCAAAGAGCCTCAGTCTAGGGGCTCACCTACATGATGGAAGACCACAAAAGAGCCTCAGTCTAGGGGCCCACCTACATGATGGAAGACCACCAAAGAGCCTCAGTATAGGGGCTCACATACATGATGGAACACCACCAAAAAGGCCTCAGTATAGGGGCCCACCTACATGATCGAAGACCACAAAAGAGCCCCAGTCTAGGGGCTCACCTACATGATGGAAGACCACCAAAGAGCCTCAGTATAGGGGCTCACCTACATGATGGAAGACCACCATAGAGCCTCAGTATAGGGGGTCTCCTACATGATGGAAGACGACCAAAGAGCCCCAGTATAGGGGCTCACCTACATGATGGAAGACCACCATAGAGCCTCAGTATAGGGGCTCACCTACATGATGGAAGACCACCAATGAGCCTCAGTATAGGGGCTCACCTACATGATGGAAGACCACCAGAGAGCCTCTACTGTCACTATACCTGAACAACTCATTAGTCCACAGCGTATTGTTCCAGAAGGCCTGGTCTTTGGCTATGAAGCACCCCCCTGACCCTTTAGAGGCGTCAGTGGCAGGGTGGCCTGGCATTTCAACTCAGAGATTAGTTCTTAGGTTTTTAAAGATTTTCTTCCATAATCAACTCAATGGGAGAGAAGATAAAGGGCTACAGACATCGAGGACAGCACAGAACTCCAGACTCACCCACCACGTCCCAGCTTTAGAGTGCAGAGGACCTTTAAACTGATTGCAGTTAACATTGTGTATTGAAGAACCTGAGCTGGTCAGTGGACACAGCACAGAATTCCACGGGGGGAGACACCAGACTTCTCTCTGAGGTCCAAGCCCATCCTGGCTTCTCCAGCAGATGAAGTTCCTCCCTGGTTCTCCATCCCAGGAACCAACTCGGACACAACTGGGTCCATACCGGACTTACTGCAGGCCTGGGGGAAGCCTCTCAAATGGTCCACCCCGAATATTGATGTCCTCCAGCATGCACCACTGGCCATGATCCTCCTTGTGATTGGCTAGGGGGACACACCTATTCATTACTGGATGTTCTGCTCTGTGGCAAGGTCACACCCAGCAGCAGGCAGATAACACTGAGATTAGGGGAAGCCAGAGGAGCACAGACTATCCAATCAGCATAGGTGCGGTCTCTCTCTGATTGCAGGTGCAAACTTTGAGTTTCCCCAACTTTTTTTTGCATCAGATGGTCAGCGTTCGGGATGAACTTGTGTAGCGGCCGGTCCCGGACAAATCTGCATTCTGAAGCCCATGTCACCTGTAGATTATTTTTCCTGCAGCGAAATGATTCATTCGATATAATTTGGCTGATCTTTTTCAATCCCTTTCTGGAACACCTTCTTCTTGAGGGCCTTAGAGAACTCTATTGGTCTTGGCTTGATGACACCACACACTTGTAGCCCCTGCACAGTTGCTGTATTGCGGGAGCACTTCTCCCTGCAAGGGGTTAATGACCCTAGTCTGGACTTTTGCTGGCAGATAAGAGTTAAAGCTGTGAAGAGACTTGATTGGTTGCCATTGTCTGAGATCACTGCAGCAGAGACTCATTGGAATTGTATTTCTGAGACAGGGAGAGACAATGTTGGTGTATGCAGAAAAAACTACAGTTCCCGGGTGACAGAGATAATTGTGTGACTCAGCCCTCCTCTGAAGCGCGGGCAGATCTGCTAGGACTCTCCAGACTGCAGGGCACGTGTGATTGCTGTGAGAAGAGCCACAGACATCACTGCTGCCAGAGAGAGAGAGCGATCACAGGGATGTCTTTATACTTCTGATCCCCTAACGTCGCCACCGCTAATGTCAGAGATTTATCTGCTGCATCAGAGGCCGACACAGCTGCGTCCTTTAGAACGGTTGGATTCTGCTGTTAGAGAGGGACCTGCTACCTTTGTATCAGAGCATCCGAGCCTCAACATAAGTCCAAGGAGCAGCCGGCTTGAGAGGGAGACGTCCTTCTCGCTGGCCAGCGAGGGAGCCGTCACTCAAGCCTGCATTCTGCAGGAGTGGTGAGAGGCCGATGACCACCCGTTATTGCTGAATTCAACTGGTGCTTGCAACAGAGTTTGGGCCCCAACGCCGGCTAGGCCACAAGTACCACTACTGGCCAGTAGCGTAGGGAACTGGGGGACATCCTGGACTGAGACGTTGCTTCAGTTAGCCCAGTATTGCTTATTGCAGCGAGTAGACAGCCGCGGCTGAGGTCTGCCTGAATGCTCAATGTGCATTCTGGTTAATTCTGATCATATCTCATCGGCGTCCAATCTTTAATTCATCAGTCAGATGTCTAAGGCAAAACCTCCAACACGTTTCACCCATGGTAAGGTTCCTTTTAATTCCATCAACCAAAAACCAGCCGACACGTTTTAGTGACAAGCCCCCCCCCCCCCACTTCATCAGGGCTACAAAATAGACATAAAACACAATGAAGAAGATACAATTATAATAACAAAGAATACAGAGAGGAAATGTGACCTCCATTAGGTTTCAGAAGAGTCCAACCTCGGAGCATGTGTATGGAAGTTGAAGAAGAACGATTGTAGTTAGAGATGATCGAAATCAAGTAAAGAAATATCTTCAGCTGGCCACACAGGGCCCCCGGATTCGAGGGGTTGCTGACGAACTGGTCAATGTTCAAGCAATGGGTGGCTTTGTCGGCACCCTATTGTTTGACAAGACTTCTGTGGAAAACATTTCCCGCACTCAGGGCAGGAAGACAGCCTCGCCCCTGTGTGAGATTTTAGATGCTTGACAAGTTTTGATTTCCGTGTATAAGATTTCCCGCACTCGGGGCAGGAAAACAGCTTCTCCCGCGTGTGGTATATCTGATGTTCGGTAAGATTGGACTTCCGGGAGAAACATTTTCCGCACTCCGAACAGGTATACGGCTTCTCCCCCGTGTGAGACTTCTGATGGGTGTTAAGATTGGACTTCTGTGAAAAACTTTTGCCGCACTCCGGGCAGGAATAAGGCTTCTCCCCCGTGTGAGATCTCTGATGTATGATAAGTTCTGATTTCCGTGTGTAACATTTTCCGCACTCGTTGCAGGAAAATGGCTTCTCACCCACGTGCAGTCTCTGATGTCTGGAAAGAGTGGTCTTACCTGAAAAACATTTTCCGCATTCGGGGCAGGAATACGGCCTCTCGCCCGTGTGAGATCTTAGATGTATAACAAGTTCGGATTTCTGTGAAAATTTTTTCCCGCACTCAGGGCAAGAAAATGGCCTCTCCCCCGTGTGAGTTCTGTAATGTATCACCAGTTCTGATTTATGAAAAAAACTTTTCCCGCACTCAGAACACGGAAAAAGCTTCTCACCCGCGTGAGACCTCTGATGTTCAGAAAGACTCAATTCGGAGCCAAAACCTTCCCCGCACTCAGGATAGAAAAATGTCTCCTCCCCCTGAATGCCAGCACCATCCCCCATAGTACGAGGTTCCTCAGAGTCAGAGGGAGTCCATGGTCTACCCACACTGTGACGTCCACCATCCATAGCTGAGCTCATTGTCTCTTCTCCCGCACAATCTGCTGTGATGTCCTCATCTTCCATCTTACAACCTGGAGATAAGGTCAGACGATCCTTTGAGGGTTCCTCCATGGCGTGTCCTGGAAACATAGAGACACATGATGGAGAGATATGAGAGGGTGAGATGACTTCACTCAACATTCCATCTGGATCAGGAGGTCTGAGGGAGCGGATGTTCTATGAGGAGGTCCCAACCAGCCGGGACTCCTCCCCTCTTCAGTCAACATTCCATCTGGATCAGGAGGTCTGAGGGAGCGGATGTTCTATGAGGAGGTCCCAACCAGCCGGGACTCCTCCCCCTCTTCAGTCAAAGGGCCTTTGGTCCTCCCAAATCACTTCTACATTGACACAGCCTTGTCAGAAGAGGCGGAGCTAATGGGGACTGGGAGGAGCATGCACTTCACCCAACCACAAGCCTAGGCACTGGGTCATGTGACTTCTGATAAATAGTATAGACTGGCAGCCCCTCCCCTGGATAACAGAAGAATATATTGTGGGTCACCTGTGCTGATCTCTGTAGGCGTGGCCTCCTCTATGGATGTCCTCATCATCCCGGCCTCCTCCGTATATCGCTGATCATCCCTCACATACGTCTCTTCTACTTCACCCTCAACTTTCATCTTCATCAGATCTTCACCCTAAACCAAGAAAATAATGGAGAACATCTGTAAAGTAGAAGCTCTAATGATGTGAGACCTCCTAGAAGATATCCGATTCCACACATTGTCTCTATGAGCCACTTACATCTTCTAGAAGCTCCGCCCCACCTACCTGATCATGGCGGGGGATGGTGAGATCTTCCTGGGTGGAATCCCGGGAATACAGAGGGCGGGGACATCTCTCTGGTGGGTTTATGTTAGGTGGCGCCATCATATTATCTTTCATAATGTCCCTGTGTCCTTCAGAAAGCTCCTTCATCACTCCGTACTCCTCGTCCTCCTCTTTATACTCTTCTTTAAAATCAATATTATTCTCTCCGAGGTTTCCACCCTAAATTTAGAATAAAATATTAATTGTAACAAACATCTTTCTGTATTAATCATAACTATCAGTGATAATCACCGACCTGATCATGGTGGGGGATGGTGAGATGTTCCTGGGTGGGGTCCCGGGAATACAGAGGGCGGGGACATCTCTCATGGTGGGGGATGGTGAGATCTTCCTGGGTGGGGTCCCGGGAATACAGGGGGCGGGGACATCTCTCTGGTGGGTTCCTCTTACTGGATCCATCTGTAGGAAACACACACACTGACTGAATACATTGTTTCTATGTGTGTATCAGATGATGGGGGATGTAGGCGGAGCCTCCGTACTGCTCTCTCCTCTTACCCGGTGATGTGAGGGGCGGGGCATTCTCCATCACCACGTCCTTGTAGAGATCCCGGTGTCCTTCTAGATACTCCCACTCCTCCATGGAGAGATAGACAGAGACATCCTGACACCTTATAGGAACCTGACACACACAATGATACCGTCACCAACCTCTCCGGTCAGCAGGTAGATGATCTCCAGGGTGAGGTTCAGTATCCTCTCGGTCATGTGACTCCGGTCCTCCTCCATCCTCATGGATGTGGTCATGTGATCTCTGGTGGTCTCTCTGTAGAGGGATAGAGGAGAATGATGAGGACTGGACTGGGTGTATATCAGGATGGGGGGGTAATATGAGGGTATCATTGAAGAACGGCCCCTCCGGTGGGATTACACACAGAGGAACACTCAGTTTAGTGTTTGCTATGTTTTTGGGGCCCGGGGGGGGGGTCTCTTACCTTTTGAATCTATCAGTTCTATCAATTAATTATAATTCAGAGGCCACACCCCCATATATACAAGCCATGATGACTTAAAGGCGAGTGATTTCCACTTATACCCATAGTTAGGGCCGACCTGTGACACTGAAGCTGTCACAGGTCCGCTCTATTGATCGGGAAGTGAACACGCACAGCCAGTCGACGACTTCCTGATCCTCTCCCTGCAGACAACTACCCTCATAGTTCCCTTTTAAAGGCCAAAACTCAAAAGTATCTCCTGGAGAGAAGACAACTTCTTCTCCTGTCTACCGGGCACCCCTAAACATATGATGAAGCTCAAATGTCGGATGAAGTCTTCTTCAGAGATCGAATGTTCCTGGACTGTCCATCTCCTGGCTCCCGGCGGTGGTTTTCTCCGCTAACCTCCATGTCACCACCGTGTCCTGTACCCTGTCCCTACACAGTGTCCTTGTACCATGTCCTGTAGTGAGGTGGAGATCAGCGGGAGGACCCACAGTTTTCAGTGGGGGGAGGATGGGATCAGGAGATGGTCTCTCCCGGACGTGTCTTTTTCTGAAGAAGACTTCATCCTACGTCGGAGCTCCTTTCAGAGAATGAAGGATCCACCTTTACCGGGAAAGCTTGGATTTGGGTTTGACGTTGAGGTGAAATCATCTAAAATCTGAGGAAAAATTGAGAGCGCAATAAACATTTTGGGCCGTTAAATATAATAATTATTTTCCTGTGTCCCTCAGACCGAAAAGGGGGACAATGAGGACAGTGAGGAGGCTACGATACTATGAAATCTCATTACCTCCTCTGCTACAAGTTCCAGCAATGTCTCCTCTCTACTTCCTCCCTACTCACCTCTCACCCGGAACTTCCTTTTTTATAGTTGATGTCACTTCCTGTCTGTTTTCCATAGAGACTTCCTGCCTGGGTCTAGGTGAGATCACCACCTTGTGGAGCTCTGAGGAACTGCAGCCCCGAGAAACCTCTCGTAGTGTGAACATGGCCTTGCGTCGATCCCTTTATTATACATATATATGAAATAATAAGGATTGCTCACCTCGCATTCCTCTGGAGATAACAGCGTTATAATGTCCACATCGTTTATAAAATCCGGATGCGTTCCAGCTGACGCATTTCTTCATCAAAATGACCTAAATGGTGGTATTTCCTCGCTTCATTCGTCCCTCCTCCTAAGATGACTCCATTGGTTCAATCGGCAAAAACGAGACCGCCTCCTACGTGTAAACACCGCCATCTGTTTTCTTTCTGATCGTGTGGGACCTTCACTTGACCAGTCACATGACCATCACTTCCTATTATCTTCCCAACTGGCCACATGATAACAGGAAGTCATGGTAATGTGGCTGGTCAGACAATTGGAAAGATAACAGGAAGTGATGGTCATGTGGCCGGTCAGACAATTGGAAAGATAACAGGAAGTGATGGACATCTGGCTGGTCAGATGATTGGAAAGGTAACAGGAAGCGATGGTCATTTGGCCGGTCAGACGATTGGAAAGATAACAGGAAGTGATGGTCGTGTGGCTGGTCAGACAATTGGAAAGATAACAGGAAGTGATGGTCATGTGGCTGGTCAGACAATTGGAAAGATAACAGGAAATTATGGTCGTGTGGCCGGTCAGACAATTGGAAAGATAACAGGAAGTGATGGTCGTGTGGCTGGTCAGACAATTGGAAAGATAACAGGAAGTTAGGCTCACATGCGGGAAACCGTCCTGTTGGTGCCAATTGGAGCAAAATCGACTCATGTCAGGAGGACGATAAAAGGCGGAGAGGAAGTATAAGAAAGAGTCGCACGTATAGATAGATTGATAGATATAGAGAGATTGATGAAATCAATCAAATAAACTTTATCGCCAGCTGCTTTTATATACAAAGTGAACATTCTATACATAAGATACAGAACATACACCCACAGCACACAAGGCCGTGTTCACACTACGAGAGGTCTCTCTGGGCTGCAGTTCCTCTGAGCTCCACCAGGTGGTGATCTCACCTATACCCAGACAGGAAGTCTCTATGGAAACAAGGAAGTGATGTCAGGTAGAAACAGGAAGTTCCATGTGGGAGGAAGTACAGAGGAGACATTGCTGTTACTGGCAGCAGAGGAGGTAATGAGATTTATATTATCATGGCTCCATCACTGACCTCTTTTGTCCATCTTCTTGGTCTGATGTACACAGACAGATATACTCTTGTTTTGGATTTGACCTTTAAGTCATGATGGTTTCTATAAAATGGGGGTGTGGCCTCCGCGTTCATGTTTATTGCTAAAAAGAAGTCTTTGTTTTCCGTGTTAAAAGAAATGTTCCTCTGTGTGTAATCCCACCGGGGGGGCGTTCTTCAGTCATAGAGACCCTCATATTATCCCCCCTCCCCCATCCTGATATTATACACTCAGTACAGCCCTCATCATTCTCCTCTACAGAGAGACCTCCAGAGATCACATGACCACATCCATGAGGATGGAGGAGGACCGGAGTCACATGACCGAGAGGATACTAAACCTCACCCTGGAGATCATCTACCTGCTGACCGGAGTGGTGAGGTGGATTCTGGGAGGTCAACATATAAAAACAAATGTTTATTACATTGATTTTTTTTTAAAATATATACTCAGAGTGGAGACTTCGGGGATTTCAATATTATTGTTAAAGAAGAACATAAAGAGGAGGATGAGAAGTATGGTGTGATGGAGGAGATTTCAGGAGGACACATTTATATGATGGAGCCAGCTAATACCAGAAACCCACCAGAGAGATGTCCCCGTCCTCTGTATTCCCGGGACTCCACCCAGGAAGATCTCACCATCCCCCACCATGATCAGGTGGGTGGAGTTGAGGGGCGGGAACGCTCTGACATGTGGAGATGACATGTGGACTCTACAAGATGAGATCTTCTATGTGATGTCACATCATAAATACTTCTATGTCACAGATGAGACTTTCTGCCGTTCTGTTGGTTTAGGGTGAAGATCTGATGAAGATGAAAGTTGAGGGTGAAGTAGAAGAGACGTATGTGAGGGATGATCAGCGATATACGGAGGAGGCCGGGATGATGAGGACATCCATAGAGGAGGACACGCCTACAGAGATCAGCACAGGTGGGTCATAACATTGAACTCTGAAGAGTCTTGGGATGAAAAGTAAGGAGTAACCTAAATGAGGAAACATCTTTCCAGTTTGAAAACTTGTGTTGCCTATCACCGGAAGCCTCGGTCTATGGTCACTTGTTCTGTGGTGAAGGGTCTACAAGTCTGAACTTTGAAGCTCTTATTTATCAGAGGTCACATGACCGAGTGCCTAGGCTTGTGGTTGGGTGTAGAGCATGCTCCTCCCAGTCCCCTCTGGCTCCACCAGTGATGGTGATTTGGGAGGAAGACCAAAGGCGCTTTGACTGAAGATGGGAGGATTCCCAGCTGGTTGGGACCTCCTCATAGAACATCTGCTCCCTCAGACCTCCTGATCCAGATGGAATGTTGAGTGAAGAGGGGAGGAGTCCCAGTTGGTTGGGACCTCCTCATAGAACATCCGCTCCCTCAGACCTCCTGATCCAGATGGAATGTTGAGTGAAGTCATCTAACCCTCTCATATCTCTCCATCATGTGTTTCTATGTTTCCAGGACACGCCATGGAGGAACCCTCAAAGGATCGTCTGACTTTATCTCCAGGTTGTAAGATGGAAGATGAGGACATCACAGCAGATTGTGCGGGAGAAGAGACAATGAGCTCAGCTATGGATTGTGGACGTCACATTGTGGAGAGACCATGGAATCCCTCTGACTCTGAGCAACCTCGTCCTGTGGGGGATGGTGCCGGAATTCAGGGGGAGAAGACATTTTCCTGTCCTGAGTGCGGGGAAGGTTTTAGATCTGAATTAAGTCTCTCTGTACATCAGAGATCTCACACGGGTGAGGAGCTTCATTCCTGTCCTGAGTGTGGAAAATGTTTTCTTCATAAATCACAACTAGTCAGACATCGGAGATCTCACACCGGGGAGAAGCCATATTCCTGTCCAGACTGTGGGAAATGTTTTTCAGATAAGACCAGTCTTTCCAGACATCAGAGACTGCACACGGGTGAAAAGCCATACGCCTGCCTTGAGTGTGGAAAAGGTTATACACAGAAATCAGACCTTGTTATACATCAAAGATCTCACACGGAGGAAAGCTCATATTCCTGCCCTGAGTGTGGGAAACGTTTTTCAGTGAAGACCAGTCTTTCCAGACATCAAAGATTGCATACAGGTGAGAAGCTGTATTCCTGCTCTGACTGTGGGAAAAGTTATACAAAGAAATCAGACCTCGTTATACATCAGAGATCTCACACGGGAGAGAAACCATATTCCTGCCCTGAGTGCGGAAAATGTTTTTCAAAGAAGTGCCATCTGAACAGGCACGAGAAGTCTCACATTGGTGAGAAGCCGTATTACTGCCTTGAGTGCGGGAAATTCTTTTCACAAAAGTCTCATCTTGATATACACCAGAGGTCTCACACAGGCGAGAAACCGTATTCCTGCCCTGAGTGCGGAAAATGTTTTTCACAGAAGTCCAATCTAAACACCCATCAGAAGGTCTCACACGGTTGAGAATTCCCATTCTTGCGCTTAGTGTGGAAAATGTTTTCACTTTGAAAACCCTGTATAAGGAAATCAGAGATGACTAAAGACTTGAAAGTTGTGTCTGGCTTCCTCTGCTGGGGGGAGGGAGGGGGCGTCACTACTGGTCGAGTCCCTCTAGCAGTGTAGTCTGATCTCCCATCATGGTGAGGGAGGAGCTTGTGGATGAAGCGAAGGGGAGATCAGACTACACGACAGGACTGACAGTGTCACGGCAGTAGTGATCAGGCAGCTTTGACTCGGAGGGCGCCCTGCTGGAGGACGGTGGAACATATGAGATTTCGGGGGTGATTTGTAGGTCACTTAATAAAAGCTTATCTTGGATTTGTATCATTGTTTCAATCTTTTACTTATTGGCATGTACTTCTTGCAGGAGCCAACTCCCCACCTCCTCTTAAAGCTCTGGGGGAGGGGGGTTCAGTAGTCTAGTCCAGGGATCAGTTCATAGTTCAAGTCCATTTCTTCTTCGTACCGTGTCCCTTGAAAGAAGAGGTTCAACATGACTACAAACAGCCTGGTCTTGGGGGGTGGAGTCCAGCAGAGTTTCTGCAACACCAACCCCAGCCGTGAAGGCCAGATATCTGGGGCAGTGAGCTCGTGTGTGAATTGGAGACGCCGAGTACAAGCCCCATCAGGTCTTCTCCAGAGCACCTAATGGTGAGGATGGAATTCGCTGTGTGCTGGTGCCGGGCTGCAACCCGCTGGAGCTGGAGGGACAAGCCATGCAAAAGGATTCAGGCAGGAACAGAAGATCAAGGAGACAGGCGAAAGGTCAGGGCAGGCGGCAAACGTGAAATTATGGAACAAAGCCGGGGTTGGTACACAGAAGGTCCATCCAAGGAAACGGGTAGCAGATCAGGGACAAATGCACAGATCGGAGCTCGGAGACAACAGGAATGTTGCTCAGGCAAAGGAAGCTGGGCAGGTGCTAAATAATGAGAGCGATCGGGAATTTGGGTAGGAAGTGGCCAAGAGGCAAGTGAGAACAGAGCCTATGCTCCCAGGGCAGAAGTCCACCTAGTCATCCTGATGAGTTGAGATGGAGGTAGAGTTCAAGATTTGGATGGACCCGTTCAGCTTACCCATTGGACTGGGGATGAAAGGCTGAAGAGTAATTCGATTTGAAGCTGGCCGAGGTTCTCGAAAAATGGGCGGTCAATTGAAGTCCCCGTTGAAGTCTCCTGTCAGAGACAATGTGTGAGGTCATACCATGGAGAAGGAAGGTTATCATGATGAAAACCACGACATAACTGGGAGCCAACAATTGACCGGGAAGTGGAATCAGGTAAAACATTTTGGAGAAGCGTTCCACCATGACGGTGGAGCCTGGTGAGTGAGGAAGGTCGGAGATAAAGTCCATGGAAATACAGCACCAAGGCACATCAGGAAGTGGAGAGGTAGAAGCAGTCCAGCCAGGGTGGAGATGGAACGTTCAGATTGGACACGGATAGTGCAAGCTTGAGCATACTCTTTGATGTCCTTATGAGGAGACCACCAGTAGTAACGTTGAAGGAAGCCACAGCTACGTTGCACTCAAGGATGTCCAAACATTTGGAAGTCGTGTCCACCTAAGGAGTTTGAAGCCGAGATTAAGTCCCACAAAGGTCTTCCTGGGTGAAATACCCAAATGCTGGGGATGAGTGGTGGCCAGGATATGATGGGAAGGAAATACGGGTTCCAAGCTTAGGTGAACATCAAAAGACCTGGAGGCATCAGCATTTTTGGAACCAGGCCAAAAAGCAATGTCAGAGTTAAACCTAGCAAAGAAGAGGATCCAAGCTTGCGGCAGAGTCAAGCATCAGCCATATTGCGAACACTGAAGATCTCTTTGATCAGTGTAAATGATGATGTGATGTGGGAATCCCTCTAAGGCCTCATTCACGATGGGCAAGTTTCCCCATACAGCATGATGGGCCGGTTCTCGACTCCCCCGGAGCTTTAGAAAGATATGTGAGGGCAGCTCACAGCAATGAAAAGGGCCGACTAATGTTCAGGCATAGGGGGATGGATGTGGACAGTAGGTTGTGGAAAGCTTTGATGGTCTCAGAGTCTCATGTTTGGCCCCCTTTCAAGTAATTGCAGATGAACTGGCAGTAATGATTGGTGAATTTCAAAAACGTTGAGTTGCTCCTAGACCAGAGGGCTGAGGCCTGAACTTTGGCCAGATCCAAAAGCAAACCTTGATCTGAGGCACTGTAACCAAGGAAAGGAACCTAAGAGGCACTTGGCCGGCCTTGGCATAGAGCCAGTTGTCACAAAGCTGCTGTATAACCGTACACGTGTGTTGACGATGAGTGCCCAAGTCCTGGAAGAAGATGAGAATGTCATCCAGGTACACAATGACACAGGTGTCCAAGAGGTCACGGAAAACCTCATTGACAAAATTCTGGAAGACGGCTGGGGTGTTGGGTCAGCCTAAGGGCATCATGAGATACTCCAAATGCCCAGCATGGAATGAGGCGGTAGCTTCTTTGGAAGACAAGTCTGGTGGCAGTGAGATGCCCAAGACAACACCTGAACAGAGTTCCAATCTGAGGGGTGAATGTTTTTGCAACTGGGGAGGCCAAGAATGATGGGACTGGAGGACTTGGGAAGAACAAGAAGAACATTTACTCACAATGGAGAACTCCGATGAGCATAGATAATGAGGAAGTTCTGAAGCAAAAAGCACCTATGGCCAAGATAGAGCCATTGACTGCAAAGACTGAAAGAGAGGAATCCCCAAGGTCACGAGAGGGATGTCCAACATGGAAGCCAAGGATTGCTCCATAAAGTTCCCAGCCTCCCCATATGCAGAGACTTGCTAAGAGGTCATAGCCCAAAGGATGGAAACGGCCAAGGTAAATCAAGAGAAAGTGAATGAATTCAAAGTCTGGTCTAGATCACCTCCCTCCTGGTGAACTAGACCTGGGGAGTCTTCCGGGCGGACAGGCAGGTCTTCGGTAGGGGGCCTAAGATACTATAGGATGCCTGGTCTGGGCCTCAGCATGTGGCAGATGTTGGGGGCCTAGAGACCTAAGATACTACAGGACGCCTGGTCTGAGCCTCAGCATGTGGCAGATGCTGGGGGCCCATAGACCTTAGATACTACTGGAAAGGAACCCGATGGAAGCCGGGCTGGAGGTGGAATCTGCTTATGGAGGAGTGTTGCGGAGGAGCTGGTGAGAGGTGCCGCCTGGACCCTGTAAGAGATCCCTCACCCTACTCTCAGGTACTATACAGAAGAGAAGCCGGTTGGGGCACTACAAGTCATGTGACGGTTCTCTCTCAGAGTCCCGGACTATTCCTGGCTGTCCTCTGGTGCTACTTCATATTCCTGGTCGCTCTCACAGGACCGTTGTGCTACTGATACAAGCCGTTGCTAAGGGAGACGACAGAGTCCTCCGAATTGTTATTCGGGTATCCTGCACCCCCCGACCCTCTCTCCTGGTTACTACTGAGCAATAAATGCTACAAAGACCCCACGACCCGATCCTGATCCGTTCCGGAGTGTCGGTGTTGCTGGAGCTGAGAAAGGGGCCGGTGGCTGGCTGACCAGGTCGGAGGACCCAAGTTCATATCCAGCGGCTCCTTCGGGGGTGAGCGCTACATGAGCATCTCCACAAAAAGTGGAAAATTGGAGGACAATTATGATTTAAATCTGTAATCAGGTTTACTGGAGAAAAAAAAATGAAATCCCTCCACTGATCCCTATCAGTCATATATTTCTATCCCTCTCGGTGGGGTGGAGATGACCCATCTATAAGGATATACAGAACATACACACACAGCACGAGATGTCTCTCTGGACTGCAGTTCCTCTGAGCTCCACCAGGTGGTGATTTCACTTATACCCAGACAGGAAGTCTCTATGACAGGAAGTGATGTCACCTCTAAATAGGAAGTTTTAGCTGTGAGGTGATTTCAGAGGAGACATTGCTGGGACTGGCAGCAGAGGAGGTAATAAGATATTATGTTATATATACATCCAGTAACCCCTCCCCCGTCATGTCCGTCCTCGTCCTCCGTAGTCAATGTGACCTCTTTTATCTCCGGAAGATTCTTCTACACATATATAGTGCGGGGAAACGTATATGAACGTCTTCAGGGTCAGAATATTTCCCTGTGTACGGGGCCGGAGCATTTCCTTCATTTTAGACATTTTCATATCTCTAAAATGAGAGAAATGGACAACTTTCCACACAATGTATTCAGGTGACGGACACACCCCTAACCACGCCCCCGGCTGTGCGCACCAATCAGAATTTATATACCAAAAATGATTGGTTAGACCCCAAATTGTTTTATTTTTTACCATTTACTTTTTATATTGTTTTTTTTGAAAAGGCAAAACGCATAACTGAGAGATAAGATGAAGGTTCTCGTATAGAGGTCCATACATCAGACCAGACGAGGGACAACTGAGGAGACAATGGGAGAGGAGAGACAAGGGGAGAGGAGAGACGAGGGACAGAGGCGAAGAGAGACGAGGGACAACTGAGGGGAGACGAGGGACAACTGAGGGGAGACCAGGGACAACTGAGGAGAGACAAGGGACAGAGAGAAGAGGGACAACTGAGGAGAGACGAGGGACAGAGGCGAAGAGAGACGAGGGACAACTGAGGAGAGACGAGTGACAACTGAGGGGAGACGAGGGACAACTGAGGGGAGACCAGGGACAACTGAGGAGAGACAAGGGACAGAGAGAAGAGGGACAACTGAGGAGAGACGAGGGACAGAGGCGAAGAGAGACGAGGGACAACTGAGGAGAGACGAGTGACAACTGAGGGGAGACGAGGGACAACTGAGGGGAGACGAGGGACAACTGAGGAGAGACGAGGAGAAGAGGGACAGGGGAGAAGAGAGACGAGGGACAACTGAGGAGACGAAGGACAGAGGAGAGACAAGGGACAGGGGAGAGGACAGAGGAGAAGAGAGACGAGGTACAAATGAGGAGAGACGAGGGACAGAGGAGAAGAGAGACGAGGGACAACTGAGGAGAGACGAGGGACAGAGGAGAGGAGAGACGAGGGACAGAGGAGAAGAGAGACGAGGCACAGAGGAGAGGAGAGACGAGGGACAACTGAGGAGAGAGACGAGGGACAACTGAGGAGAGACGAGGGACAGAGGAGAGGAGAGACGAGGGACAACTGAGGAGAGACGAGGGACAACTGAGGGGAGACGAGGGACAACTGAGGAGAGACGAGGGACAGAGGAGAAGAGAGACGAGGGACAGAGGAGAGGAGAGACGAGGGACAGAGGAGAAGAGAGACGAGGGACAACTGAGGGGAGAAGAGGGACAGAGGAGAAGAGAGACGAGGGACAGAGGAGAGGAGAGAAGAGACGAGGGACAGAGGAGAAGAGAGAGGAGAGACAATGGTGGGGAGACGAGGGACAACTGAGGAGAGACGAGGGACAAAGGTGGGGAGACGAGGGACAGAGGAGAGGAGAGACAACTGAGGGGAGACGAGGGGCAGAGGTATTCTGTTCCAGGCGATTTGTCTCTTTTCCACCAATGACATTTTCACCTTCGCAGTCTCTTGCATTAGTGACGAGATTCGGGTTCTGCTGAAATTTGACCCCAATTTCCAGGATTTGTGGTTGATGAGCTTTGGAACTCACCCATAATGCCCCAAGCAGCCTATGGCCCCGTTCAGCGGGCAATAACAGGGATGGAGGTGGACAGTCCCGCCCCTCACTATAAGCGGGGGTGGGAGGTCAGTCATAGTGTCGGTGTGTCTGGTGATGGTGAGCGGACAAGGAGAGCTCCTTCATAGGGACCGATCAGTGGAGGGATTGAGTGGTGTGGTTGGGTTGTGTGTGTTGCAGTTGTGGTTCCAACTTCCTCCAGCACAGAGCAGACAGTATGCAGCCAGCATTGCTGATGTCCCCTTCTCCTATTCCTCGTTCTTCTCTTCCACCTTCCCCTGCTCCTCATCCGATAATCCATCCAGATCCAGGTATATTGGTTCTGAAGAGTCGGCAGAATTCTTCGAGGTCTCCATTGATTCTGGATTGTCCCCGGGAGGAGACAGAAGCAGATACAGAAGGGGAAGATGTGAGGAACGCTCGGGTCTTCCTTGGTTCTCAGGAGGAGGATTGGCAGTGACAGAAGGAGGAAGAGAGCGGGGTGATCACAGCGGGAGAAGGTGGCTCGGTGTCTCCTGAGGAAGCCACACTCCAGGCCGAGGTCAGAGGCCACGCAGCAGAGGTACCAGACATCAGAGCTCCAGCAGACGGAGCTTTCTGTGAGCTGGACTCCAGTGAGGAAGAGGTGGGTCTATAAATACATCTTTGAGTAATCCAATCTACGTGCCAACTCCCACTGGGGGCAGCCAGAATATTAACCCCTCATATCCCCATCCTAATATTATACACCCAGTACAATCCTCATCATTCTCCTCTATCAGTCCACACAGAGACCTCCACAGATCACATGACCACATCAATGGGGATGGAGGAGGACCGGAGTCACATGACCGAGAGGATACTAAACCTCACCCTGGAGATCATCTACCTGCTGACCGGAGAGGTGAGGAGGATTCTGGGAGGTCACATGACCTGACCGGAGAGGTGAGGAGGATTCTGGGATTCTAACATGATGTTCCTATTGGTTCCTCCATCCAGAGTTTTCCTCTTCTGAAGTCTGGTGATCATGTGACCATCACAGTGCCCCCATGTGACTCCCTAAAACCCGAGAGACCCAACATGGAGAAGATTCTAGAAGTCACCAAGAAGATGATGAAGCTGCTGACGGGAGAGGTGAGCGGTGCCGGGGATTCTGGGACATGATCCAGGAACAGACGAGGGGCGTGTCTGGGTGGTGACGGGAGAGGTGAGCGGTGCCGGGGATTCTGGGACATGATCCAGGAACAGACAAGGGGCGTGTCTGGGTGGTGACGGTATCATTGTGTGTGTCAGGTTCCTATAAGGTGTCAGGATGTCTCTGTCTATCTCTCCATGGAGGAGTGGGAGTATCTAGAAGGACACCGGGATCTCTACAAGGACGTGGTGATGGAGAATGCCCCGCCCCTCACATCACCGGGTAAGAGGAGAGAGCAGTACGGAGGCTCCGCCTACATCCCCCATCATCTGATACACACATAGAAACAATGTATTCAGTCAGTGTGTGTGTTTCCTACAGATGGATCCAGTAAGAGGAACCCACCAGAGAGATGTCCCCGCCCCCTGTATTCCCGGGACTCCACCCAGGAAGATCTCACCCTCCCCCACCATGAGAGATGTCCCCGTCCTCTGCATTCCCGGGACTCCACCCAGGAAGATCTCACCCTCCCCCGCCATGATCAGGTGGGTGGAAAAAATTATTGGTCATTGTAATTTATGGAGAAGCATGTTTGTTAAAATGTTTTATTATATATTCAGAGTGAAAACTTCGGGGATTTTATTATTGTTTGTAAAGAAGAACATAAAGAGGAGGATGAGGAGTATGGTGTGATGGAGGAGTTTTCAGATGGACAGAAGAATATGATGGAGCCACCTAGTAAGAGGAACCCACCAGAGAGATGTCCCCATCCTCTGTATTCCCGGGACTCCACCCAGGAACATCTCACCATCCCCCGCCATGATCAGGTGGGTGAAGTTGAGGGGCGGGAACATAAAGTGATGGAACGCTCTGACATGTGGAGATGACGTGTGGACTCTACAAGATGAGACCTTCTATGTGATGTCACATCATAAATACTTCTATGTCACAGATGAGACTTTCTGCCGTTCTGTTGGTTTAGGGTGAAGATCTGATGAAGATGAAAGTTGAGGGTGAAGTAGAAGAGACGTATGTGAGGGATGATCAGCGATATACGGAGGAGGCCGGGATGATGAGGACGTCCATGGAGGAGGACACGCCTACAGAGATCAGCACAGGTGACCCATAATATATTCTTCTCTGTTCCTAGACACTGATAGGTCCAGAGGAGGGCGGAGCTGAGTGTTATCAGCCAGTCATAGGGGTGACCTCCTTATACTGATACCCATACATCTGGTTGGGACCTCCTCAGAGAACATCTGCTCCCTCAGACCTCCTGATCCAGGTGGAATGTTGAGTGAAGAGGGGAGGAGTCCCGGCTGGTTGGGACCTCCTCAGAACATCCGCTCCCTCAGACCTCCTGATCCAGATGGAATGTTGAGTGAAGTCATCTAACCCTCTCATATCTCTCCGTCATGTGTTTCTATGTTTCCAGGACACGCCATGGAGGAACCCTCAAAGGATCCTCTGACTTTATCTCCAGGTTGTAAGATGGAACATGAGGACATCACAGCAGATTGTGCGGGAGAAGAGACAATGAGCTCAGCTATGGATGGTGGACTTCACAGTGTGGATAGACCATGGAATCCCTCTGACTCTGAGCGACCTCGTCCTGTGGGGGATGGGGCCGGAATTCAGGGGGAGAAGACATTTTCCTATCCTGAGTGCGGGGAAAGTTTTAGATCTGAATTAATTCTTAGTGAACATCGGAGTGCTCACTCAGGCGAGAAGCTTTATCCTTGTTCTGTGTGTGGGAAAAGTTTTAATATATCAGCACTTGTCAGACATCTCAAATCTCACAAGGTACAGAAGCCATATTCCTGCCCTGAGTGTGGGAAACATTTTGCTAACAAGACCTATCTTTCTAAACATCAGAAACTGCACTTGGGCAAGAAGCCGCATTCCTGCTTAGAGTGCGGAAAATGTTTTACATGGAAATCAGATCTGTCGAGACACCAAAGATCTCATACCGGGGAGAGGCCATATTCCTGCTCTGAGTGTGGGAAAAGTTTTTCACAGAAATCAGTCCTTATTACACATCAAAGATCTCACACTGGGGAGAAGCCGTATTCCTGCTCCGTGTGCTGGAAATGTTATGCACGGAAAGCCGACCTTGTTGTGCACGAAAGAACTCACACCGGAGAGAAGCCCTATTCCTGCTCCGATTGTGGGAAAAGTTATAGACGGAAATCATACCTTGTTCTACATCAGGTATCTCATACAGGGTAAAGCACATATTCCTGTTCTGCGTAAAGGAAACGTTTTTCACAGGGGAGAAGCTGGATTGTTGTCCTGCGTGTGGGAAATGTTGTGTATGAAAGTACACAACAAAGATCTCTTGAGTGTAGACAAAGTTATCTAGGAAACAGAACTTTCCCAGTATACATGCGGAGAGGTGTCACGGCTCTAAGGCAGGGATGGCCAAACTCCGCCCCTCCAGCTGTGGTGGAACTAAGAATCCCATGAGGCTTTGCAAGCCACAGACATGACTCCCGGAGAGAGATGCTTCATGGGATTTGTAGTTTCACCACAGCTGGAGGGCCGGAGTTTGGCCATCCCTGATCTAAGGCTTTGTGAGCCATTGTGTTCTTGAGAGAAGATCCAGTTCCTAGTGACCGCCAGTGCTCCTAAGAACAGATTCCAATTTCTAGTGTCCAACAGCATATTTGAGAGACGTTCCAGTTCCTAGTGACCCCCCAAGTTTTGTTGAGAGAAGTGGCAGTTTCTAGTGACCCCTAGCTTTCATTACAGGAGTTCCTTCTCCTCGTGATCCTCAGCGTTCTTCAGAGAAGGTCCAGATCCTAGTGACCCCCCCCCAACCGTAGTGTTCCCGAGAGTTCCTAGTTCTGTTGGGGAATTCTGAACAGGGCTTCAGTCAGGCTCCGGGCCTGGTGGTTATGGTCTTGTTCCCCTAATGTCCTCCAAACTTGTAGAGAGTTATTAAAGAAGAATGTGTGGACATGGGAAAGGTGTGTGTGTTTTCTCGCCCCATAAATGATCAAATTTCAAAAACTATATGCCAAAGTTCTGTGCGTTCTTCTTGTGCCATTTATATATGTTTAATAAATTTGGATTATATTTTCAATGCACAAGCCAGTGGTTTGGCTTCATCTACAACAGTAGTCTTGAGATAAGCTTCCTTTCCTGGTGACCACCTGTGTTCCTGAGAGAAGTTCCAATTCCTGGAGACCGCCAATGTGTTTTTGAGGGAAGTTCCAGGTCCTAGTGACCCCTGGTGTTCCTGAGAGAAGTTCCAGTTCATGGCGACCCTCCGTGCTCCTGAGAAAAGTTTCAGGTCCTAGTGACCCTCCGTGTTCCTGAGAGAAGTTCCAGTTCACGGTTACCCTCAGTGTTCCTGAGAGAAGTTCCAGTTCACGGTTACCCTCAGTGTTCCTGAGAAAAGTTCCAGTTCACGGTTACCCTCAGTGTTCCTGAGAGAAGTTCCAGTTCATGGTGACCCTCAATGTTCCAGAGAGAAGTTCCAGTTCACGGTGACCCTCCGTGCTCCTGTGAGAAGTTCCAGTTCATGGCGACCCTCCGTGTTCCTGAGAAAAGTTCCCGTTCACGGTGACCCACCGTGTTCCTGAGAGAAGTTCCCGTTCATGGCAACCATCCGTGTTCCTGAAAGAACATGTGTTTTTTTTTTATTATTATTAGATTTATTTTATTTCATTTTAATTTTAAAAACTGTTTTTTTACTTTACTTTGACTGCTATCAGATGGGGGGGCTTGCAAGCCCCTCCATGTAATAGCAGATGGTGGTGACAGGTCCTCTTTAAGGTGATGCTGGGGGTCCAAAAGACCCTCAGTGTCACCTTTACACTAAGACCTATCTTTCTAAACATCAGAAACTGCACTTGGGCAAGAAGCCGCATTCCTGCTTAGAGTGCGGAAAATGTTTTACATGGAAATCAGATCTGTCGAGACACCAAAGATCTCATACCGGGGAGAGGCCATATTCCTGCTCTGAGTGTGGGAAAAGTTTTTCACAGAAATCAGTCCTTATTACACATCAAAGATCTCACACTGGGGAGAAGCCGTATTCCTGCTCCGTGTGCTGGAAATGTTATGCACGGAAAGCCGACCTTGTTGTGCACGAAAGAACTCACACCGGAGAGAAGCCCTATTCCTGCTCCGATTGTGGGAAAAGTTATAGACGGAAATCATACCTTGTTCTACATCAGGTATCTCATACAGGGTAAAGCACATATTCCTGTTCTGCGTAAAGGAAACGTTTTTCACAGGGGAGAAGCTGGATTGTTGTCCTGCGTGTGGGAAATGTTGTGTATGAAAGTACACAACAAAGATCTCTTGAGTGTAGACAAAGTTATCTAGGAAACAGAACTTTCCCAGTATACATGCGGAGAGGTGTCACGGCTCTAAGGCAGGGATGGCCAAACTCCGCCCCTCCAGCTGTGGTGGAACTAAGAATCCCATGAGGCTTTGCAAGCCACAGACATGACTCCCGGAGAGAGATGCTTCATGGGATTTGTAGTTTCACCACAGCTGGAGGGCCG